TATTATAATATTAATTTTGAAAACAAACATAAACCATACATTATTAACACTAAATGCACAATATATTTTAGACATTTTGCAAACAAAACGCTTTATTCTATATGCTTACCCCAATTTTTTTATTTTATTTGGCCTATCTGGCATTTATTAGCATATTGTTGGGTTTTGCTAACAAAATCCTACAGTAAAGAGTATTTCTAGCTTGTGCCCAGATCTATTTTACATAAGGATTATGAGAAAATAAGAGAACACTTTTAGCCTAGATGCACTGCAAAAATTAATGATAGTAGAAATCTGTTATCACTCGTTTGACTTCAACGGTAGATTTTCAGTTAAACTATAATAGAAACTATTATTAGTATACAGTTCAGATATTTCAATACATTTACACTTTAAAATATTACTCTTAGTTGTTTGTTTCAGTTTTTCTTTTTCTTTTTCTCGTACATAAAACAATAATTTTAAGACTAATACCATGCATAAATACTGTATAGAGTAATGAGTATAGTATTGTTCCAGAAAATGTTGTTTTCATTGTACAATTTTTGTACGGGTTTACCTTTAAATAAAGTAACTTAATTGCGTTTCTGACAAATTCATACATTGTTTTGATATCAATAATGTTTAAATTATTACTTCTCCTCAGTGATTCCTTTATCTGATGACCTTGAATTGATACTCAAGTAAGAGATTGTTTATGCATCTTATCCATAACTTACTATAAATTATTTTAACATTTAACATTTTTGTAAGAATAAGTTGTTTTTATTTTTTTACAATCCTCAATTGTAATTATTACGTGTAATAAGTGGTATATTTAAGTGTCACTAGTCTTTACACAATGGAAGATCTGCCAGGATAATAGGCCTTTTTCCATCAGATCCCAGTTTGATAAGACAATTTAAGTTTAAGGGTCCTACAAATGTTTACAAATTATTACTTTGTTATAAACTACCACTAGAAACTAAGATAAATCGTTTATTTGATAACGTTTTAATCGATCCCAATGTTCACAGTTGGTTGAACGTTGTAATAAGTCATGAGAAAATACCCTTCGCCCTCCATCCTACCCAAACCAAGACAATCACCTCGTAAATCAGTATAATGAAATTTAATTTGGCAACTAGACCAACTATTGGCCTCAGTAAAAACGTTTAAGAATCGTTTGTATTATTTTCATATCCCTTGTTCAACATCTAATCCACACAATTGTGGGAGCGTTATCAACAGATTCTTTAATATACTTTTAAATTGTGACTTTTGCCTTTAGCTTTGAGTATTTAAAGACCGCTACAAACAGGTAAACTAGTTTTAAAGTCTTCAGGTAGGTATTCTATGCAGAGAATCGTTTGATGGTATATATTGATCGATTTGGTTCATCACTAAAACTGTATAAGTTATTTATAAGTTGGCCGTTTTATCGCGAATATTTGGGTTGTTGTTCCGAAAGCTACACAAACCATTTTTGACTTAAATACAAGCTTACAAAATAGTGTGTGGAATCAGTTTGCTTGAAAATTTATTCTCAAATTTGCACAAGTACATTCTTCTGCATTTAATTTCCGTCGGTAGATACTGATATAGCCAAGGTGTTTACCTGTAAGATCATTTTACAAAAGATCACTAAAATGTAATCTCATTTTATTTTGTAGACGACTTTTTTAAATACTTTCTGGATTAGTAATAGATACAGGTGAGTTAAGGCAAAACGGACTCTTCCTACGGTTAGTGTAGAAAGAGAACTCCTCTCCTTTCCTAAGTGACCTAAATATCTAAATTTAGCTAATAATACTGTTTAATATAACCTCCCAATTTATACACATAATGTTAAACGTTAGGTAAAAACAATATAAAGCTGTATAAACAACAATCAAACTAAACACACCCATACTTATTAGTTCGAAGCCTCCAAGCTAGTCTGGAATAGAATACACCACGCTGGTAGACATCACCACCCTAACATGTCACACGGACCCAACGATGTAGTTTTGTTAATTTAAATAAATAGGGTAATTATGGAAATGTTAAGGTCATTTAGTTCATTTGAAAATGGAAGTTTTTTCCCTCCCAAAATGTCGTGAAGTTAAAACCATTAGTGTAGGAAAAGGCAAAATTAAAATATTTTCCCTACGCATTATTTATGAACTTATTATTTATGAAAAACGGAGATTAGCGTTGGTTAATTAGTTATGTTTTGATGGTCCTCTTCCATAGACCAGGGTTAATAATCCCTTCAATCATTATTGACAACCAATCATGTGTCATTGACGAGTCCCGGCAATCGGAGAGAACCTATAAATATATCTGTAAGGTATAAATCTGTCTAGGAAACGTCTCTTAGAAGGAAATAAAAACTTGTTGTAATTCAGTTTAACATCCACTAAGATCCTTGGAACGGTTTTAAAATGTTTTATTTTCTTACATTATAACAGAACCCTGATTAGTATTATTTTTCGATAACACGTATCAAGCTACCACAACAAATTGAAAGTATAATAAAGGTATTTGTCTGTATAAGCTTGTTTATGACAAAGTAAAAAACATTGTATATTAAACATTTTTATTAGACGTTTTTGTGTATTGTAACATTTTATTTGTAATCTTTGACTTCATAATAGCAAATCATCTTCATAGACTATCATATAAAATAAAAACATGTATTTTCCTAATCTATCTATATTTTAAATTTTACATACATTTTCATTAATTTTAAATCTTCATACGTAATATTATCATTCCTGATATTTGTTTAATGATTTATAACTCAAACATCTACTCTGTAATTTGTACAATGTATGTACACATTATAACCTATCTCTCTAATGAGTTTATTAATCGTAAACCATCTGCAAAAATTAAGTGATTCCACCAAACCTCATACTTACTAATTTATCTTTTCTGTTTACTGTAAAACATACAACGCTTTGGTAAGGTACCACGAGACATAAAGTCTACCATGGTAGTTTCAAAATAGGGTCTTTGATGTTTGTAGTTGCATATTAGTCAGTATTAAAAAGAAAATTACATCGTGTAAGTTAGCCAAATATACTTATGTTAATGCCATTAACTTTTTATACTTAACAAAAGACACAATTAATTTTTGTACTGAATAAACAAGAAACAACAAGAACTAGAATAAAGAAGAAAACTAATAAATAGCTTATGTAAAGTAAGCAATACTATTACAAAACAGCTAACAGAACTCAATTTGACTCCCTACATTTAGCCTAGAGCTATTCGAAAAATTTGGTTGGTTTAAGCCTAATACGGGATATTTCTTCAAGTATTAATATTTACCTTATATTAATTATATAATAGAAACTCTCTTTATGTTATCTTTTGTAAATAATATTAGGCCTAGGTATTGAGAATTTATATTCAAAGAATAGTGCTTTGAAATAAATATCAAGATGGTTTTTAACGATCTTCACCTGAAAAGTGCTCTTAGTAACATGCAACAGCTTTAGTTATTGATAACACAGCAAGAATAAATTGACGCAACTGTTTTATTTGTGTATTCCTTACATTTATTTAAATCATTCATGCACATCAAATCGTCATAAAGACAAAACAAATAATTTTAAATTTTATATTTACGTTAGGAAATTAATTTTTTGACGTTCAGGATTTTTAACCATCCTGGACGTTTCACAATAAAATTTCCTGCTGTTAAATGGTGTGATTTTTAAAATGTTTATCTAATTATTTTCGTTTATTCAGTCTCCCTATTTACATTTCCTCAAATTTTACATCTAGTGTCACTCAAGGATGTGCACTCGACTTAATATTTTAGAAAGTTTTCTAAAAAGTCTTCTGCCTTCAGCTGAAGAGTTAAAAACAGGTAAAACAGAGACATTGGACAATGCGTTCACTCTCCCTGTTATTGTGTATCTAGAAATGGATTTTTGTGTTACTGTCATATTTTATTTTTGTAAGGCATAGTCTCATCTTGTAAAGTCCATAGGTAAAACCGTAAGGGTCCCTGAAACAATTAAGTTAATATAAGACCAATTTATTACATAGTTATGATAAAATAGTACAAGAAAAACATAGTAACCAACAGAATGTGATCATAACTAGCATTCACTGTGTAAGAGAAATTAGCATGTTGTATTGTACAATTAATACTAGACGAACTTGTTTTCCGATTAGGTATTTGAAAACAGCAAATCCAAACAGTGACAAATGCATTAGCTACATATGTAATACTAAGTCTTGTAAAAAACCTAATGCGTTTCTTTATGATTTGCAGAAATGTAAACATTTCAAATTGAATACCTAGAAAACTGGAGTTTCCTTAATGGCTGTACGAGATATCAATAGTTGTTAAATGAGCCAGACAGCCTATATTAGAATAAGTTAATACAACTTGCTCTGCCAGTGCTTCAATACGGGGTGAGAATGCAGAAAAGAATTGTTTGGTTTTTTAAATCTATTATAAGAAACATTTACAGCACACTTTCCAGAAAGCGTATAGGCATTGCACCAAGAAGCAGTTCTTCATATAAAAATATAAAAAAGCAGAAAAAATATATAATTAATTTGCATTATCTGTTTTAAATTTTACTTTAATTTGTTTTGTTAATGAACAAAACTAAACTTCTTCGAAAATCCCTTACTTAGGTACCTTTAAGATGGTTCCAGGGCTATGCCCTCAATGATGTAACGAAATTGATGGTGTATAAACCTACACTATGAAATGTTACATGTATGTATCGTTAGTACGTAAGTATCGTTGACATCGGTCCAGCGTGTCTAAATTTATCACTGCCAAGTATACCAACAACCTATCTCATGCTTATGGATATCTATAGCAATTTATGTTATTATGTTGTTAATTGCTATAGTTTATTTAAAGTTCAAAGAAGTATGAATTTAATTGCAGCCATCATAACTTTAATTTATGAAACATAAAAATAAAACACTTACACTATTTTACAGCTCGTGCCATAATCCCTCCACTGCCAGTTTCCCGCGCTATTCACACTTGTTGTCTAGAATATAAAATATTCTTCTTAAATCATTGAGAGACGAACTAGTAGTGCCCTGCTCTCTTAATTGAGAGAATGTTTGCACAATCTGTGCAACCATTGCCATTATGGATTTTCTTACATTTCTTGTGTGATTCAAATCCAAGCTTCATGACTGTGATTCAAATCATAGCTATGGTGTGATAACGTGATTTAGCAAAGCTTGTTAAACCAACGAGCTCATGTTCTCAACGTTGAGCTCTTTCTCCAAATACTGCACAACTGACCACACGCTGACCCCCTGGGTAGTCAGGATTCCCCCGTCGTCGGCCTCTAGGGTGGCCACTCCGTAGCCACTGTAGTTGTGCACTATTTTGCCGATAGCTTTCTGCCTTTCGTCGTCATCCTGTATGTATGGCTCCAACAGAGCCTCTAGCTCCTGACCACTCAGTCCGTAGAACTCATGCAGAGCCTCGCAGTCCCCCACATTGGATGGTAGGAGTTCTTCACGTGACACTCCCCGTCCAGACCGCAGCTGACCTGTCACTAAAGATCTCTCAACACTCGAGCTCCTTAGGAGGTCAAAGTTGACAGCACTCAACAAGTGAAATATGTTGGGGGTTTGAGAATATAAGGGACTATCTATAAATGCATCGTAGTTGTCCATCAGCACAATCACTCTTTTCTCAAATCGTTTGTGCAATAGCTTGGCTAAGAGACTAAAGCCAGTTCTAATATCAGTCTCAGAGAGTTTGTGGCTCAATCGTAAATCAATGTATTGCGTGAACTTTTCTTTGTCAATCCAGCTATAAGTTTCATTTAAGGACCAAATATGCTTGTCGTTTAGGAGATATTGATGTTCTAAAAAGGTCTTCATCATGACTAACCCGAAGAATTTCCCGAAAAACTCTTCAACATTTTTTGTATTCGACAAAGACTTGTAGTCTATGTGAATGATGGGGTATTTACCAAAATGCTGATTGAAGAAATCACTAATTTGATATATTTTTAAGAATCTTTCTTTAAATAAACTTAGGTTTAAAGACTTCTCTGCTTCTGATGCTTCACAGTTTTTGTTTACGTTCATTTGGTAGAAGCGTTTTAACATGTTTATGTTTGTCGATTTTCCATATTTCTTTGGAGTCAATATTAGAACTCCTTCACCGTGCTTGACTTTGTCGAAAAACCTTTTAATAAGCAAAGTTTTATCGACGAACAAGGTAGTTTTTAGTATTTGGGCAAAATCATCCCCTTCGTATATGTAAACGTCTTCAGTCTTCACCTGTAAAGATTTTATAAAGTTTTAAATGTTATACTAACACTTAAATAGAAACAGCACGATAATTCCATTGCAGTAAGTATTTTTGTACTAACTGGTATAGTATTAGTATTCATTCTTTCTAAATTTAAAATATGCAGGATAAGAGTTAAAACATTTTGCATGTTATCTGATTTGGCATTCGTAATGTTTCAAAGAAATTACAAAATAGTTAATTTTATTGAAGACTTTTATTTTCACGGTATAATGAGTTATATTTAATTCGAAGACCTTAAAATCTTTCTTGGCTTAGGAGACAGCAATAAGTACCTAACATAATAGTGTGGGGCCTAATCCTTATACCATAATACTAACTTATTATGGTACTTGCTCCTCCCTTGAATGGAACTAAAATTATCAGAAAACTTTACTGAAGCTACTTTTAAAACATTTTCACAAATGATTATATAATAAATGTATCATGTTTTATACTCATGGTCATTTAACCTACCTTGTTTTAAAGAGGTACTTGGGAGTGTAAGTACGAGTATAGTTATGGAAACTAAGAAATGTGAATATTATATTGTTTCATATTGTTTCCACTACAGCCTCTTTAGAATCTTACCCTCTTTAAAGAACCCTGTAGGCATAGCTCTCTGATATTTTAAGAACGGGAAAACAATATTCTCAGGCCTTTTAGGAGTATTCTAAAATTTTTCACGCCGATCAGACGGACAAGTTGACAGTGCATATACATACACGCATTTAACTATATTCGTGTGGACTGTCTCAGTATTTGTGAAATTAACAATTTTTCAAAGTTTCCAACGCCATAGGAAAATGAAAGGGTTAAAAATACATATTGTTTATGGTTATTTTGGAAACATTACATCACATAATATGATTTCGCCTCTGAACAATTTATATCCCTTAATATACACTGTTTACCATTGATTGAAGGATTAACTAATACCAGCAACACATAAAAAAAGTGTTTTTAAGAAAAGTATATTTAGTTAAACTGTGCGAAAATAACTATAATAACTTACAGAAATGCATTGTTAAAATGAAAACTTTCAAATAATTGCAACTCACCTGGGATATGTCGTGTCCAGCCACATCACTGATTTCGTCCAATATAAATAATGCTAAAAAAGCTATCATTCTAAAGTAGTATTTTTGGTTTTTCACACAATCATTACGACTTCAACTCGTATTCTACAAATTAAATACTCTTACAAACCATCTACGATATAGCTCGAGTTACACTAGTATTGAGTACTATTTTGTTGACCAAACATAATATTATGACCAGTATATTCCATGATATACGGTTTAATATGTTCTTTAGTTTTATTAATCAGAATTGTTCACAGACTATCCAGAAATAAACCAATGCTGACAACAGTTAAGATGTTGATAAGATTAGACATGGATTGTTAAGTAATACAAGAGGAGTATCATTAAACGTTGACGCATCCAATGTGTTTATAAATACTTAAAAGCTCATTTTCTGATACTATTTGTAACTATGTAGTCCAGTCTATAAAGGGGCTGTAGAGGACATGGAGGGGGGAATTTTTTCCCCCGGGAATGTGTTCAGGATAGTAAGAAGAAAAATATACAATAAGTTCCCGCCCCTAGCCCTACTGCTTCAGCGGGGGGAGAGGGAAAGACCTCTTTTTTAAGTTTTTTACTTCTACACTGAAAACCATGCATCGGACGGAAAAATATGAATAATAGAAATGAAAAAGATAAAATTTCCTACAAATAAGGTTATATTATTTTTTTAGTTTCAAAGATATTAAAACTGAAATTATTGTATAAATGGATTTTTCCTGCGCTTTTTGTTAAATAAGTACATAATTCATTTGCCTGTTGCGGTGTTACATTAATCAGTATATAACAGGTTTTAGGACACTAACATTTAATATAAATATATATGCCTATATATTGTGTAAACAAATTACGAATTGTTAATTATAAGTTTAAATAACTAATATTATTAATATCTGTATGGCTGGTTGGTTACTCAGGTGATGATAGCAGTTTGCAGTTGTACTTAAAGTAATACTCCCGTTGCAGCAAACCAGCAGACTAAGCGAATTACAACTTATCTGATTACATGTTTACTAAATTATTTCCATAAATAAAACATATATATTCACAATTTAAATATCATTAGATTTTGCTATAGGAAAGTTGCAGGAAGGTGTTTTAACCATATGTCAATAGTATAGTATTAAATCAATGAATTTGCCAAATTTTATCAGAATCTATCAATAAACAAGTAAACTACAATGGTTTTCATTTTATCCATAAGAAAACACATGAGAATTTTTAAATTACACTTTTTTATTTTCTCCGAGACCATTGTGCATACAATATACTGAATTATTCTTTTTTTAAGCTCTACAAAATGGTATAGAAAGAAATTGCAAAATTCTTTGTTTTTGTGTACTTATTTAACAAAAAGTGCAGGAAAAATCAATTTATACAATAATTTATATGTTTATTTGAGAATATCTTTGACACTTAGGTATATACAGAAAAAGAAATATGACCTTTTCTGCAGAAAATTTTATCCTTTTCATCTTTATAATTAAAATATACTGAATTATTCTTTTTTTAAGCTCTACAAATTGGTATAGAAAGAAATTGCAAAATTCTTTGTTTTTGTGTACTTATTTAACAAAAAGTGCAGGAAAAATCAATTTATACAATAATTTATATGTTTATTTGAGAATATCTTTGACACTAAGGTATATACAGAAAAAGAAATATGACCTTTTCTGCAAGGAATTTTATCCTTTTCATCTTTATAATTAATTTTTTTTCCGTACGATGCATGGTTTCTAGTGTGTAAGTAATGAGATAAAAAAGGGGGTCTTTCCCCTCCCTTCCTCCGCTGAAGCAGCAGGGCTGGGGGCGGGGACTTTTAGTATTTTTTAACTTAAATCCTCCCCGAACACATTCCCACAAAAATTCCCCCCCCCCCTCCATTTCGTCTACACCCCCCTTTTGAGCTTTCATTGACTTTCATAACAATTCGTCGAAATTATCTGTATCGTGTTGGGTAATAATTAAGCTGAGAATAAATTGACTACTTTAAATTTTTGATGGGTTTACAACTTAAAATAAACGGTATCAGCATTCTGACACATACTTTCTCCCATAAGTTTGTCAACAACCTTTATCATGTGTAAGCGGTGAGAGTAAATATACGGAAATGGGATTTATACAATTTTGTTCACAATTTAAAGGACTACATACTAAATTTTTATCAAAATCTTTCGGGATATTTTTGTGAAAATCAGATTTTTCCGTTATTTTATGGGAAAATAACATAATTTACAATAACTTTTGAACCATAATTTTTACAGAAATGGGATTTGTACCATTTTGTTCAGAATATAAAGGACTATAACATACAAAGTTTTTATCAAAAACGTTCGGGCCGTTTTTGGGAAAATCCTATTTTCCGTTATTTTATGGGGTTTTATAAAAAATTCCCATTAAAAAAAAATAAAAATGAAAAAACTATCAAATTTTTAAGGACCATAACATAAATTACTATGTTAAAATAAAACCGGATTTTTTTCTAAAATCCAATTTTTTGTTATTTTATGGGGTTTTTATGGGAAAATAACATAATTTACCATAACTTTTGAACCGTAATTTTTACAGTAATGGGATTTGTACCATTTTGTTCAGAATTTAAAGGGCTACAACATACTACATTTTTATTAAAATCGTTCGGGCCATTTTCGAGAAAATCCGATTTTTCCGGCTTTTTATGGGTTTTTATGGGAAATCCCCATTAAAAATCAAAATTTCAAAAAAAATGAAAAAAACGCCTGGAGATACCATGGATTAGAACCTACATACCAAATTTCATCGAAATCGGACCACAGGTGTAGTCCCTAGCTCAGGACACATCCAGACACACAGACCCACAGACACACACACACACACAGACATCACTTTGAAAACCACTTTTTTGGGTCCAGGGGGACCCAAAACGGATATATCCACCCAAAACTCAAACTCGAAAATTTTGACGAAAACAATACTTTCTCCATATAATATGGTATAGGGGGAGAAAGTAAAATTATAATGTAGGTGTACGTTGCTCGTGTAGTTGATGCAGCCAAACCCAAGATTTTAAAATGAAGATAACGCAATCTATAGAAAGTATCCAATAGTTATTCAATATCGGAAGTTCATATAACATACCAGATGTCTCGTATTATCATTGAAACACTTAGATTTTTTCTTAAGATGTTTTTCTTTTTGGGTTTGGAGTTTTTCCAACTTTAATTTAGTTATATGTATTACTATTTTATTAAAATAAAGTCTTACGCTATTTAAAACAAAAAACTTAAAATTGTGCCAGCTTGTTTTAATATAATTTATCCAAGTTAATATGTTTTTTTTTTTTTTTGCCTCTGGGTAGACAAAATAAAAAAGCAAATATGTCCTGGGTTTATTTCTCTCCATGCCACCTATGAAAATTTCTCCTCTTCTATAGAACAATCCACTTAAAACTTATAGACGAGCTGTTACCTAACATTTTCAAAGATTATATAAACATGAAAATTATTTCCCATAAAACATAGACGAGAAACGTGGACTCTACGGCGAGATGTTGTTAGCGTTGCGGTAATTTAAATCTGAATAATTCAGAGTTTCGCTAACATCATGCAAATAGGGAAACATTTCATGTTTAAGCAGTTTTTTGTATGCTTTACCTTAATGTCAGTGTAAAATGTACTCCTTTGAATGTTATGAATGAAACTTCAGCAACTAGCTCCACTGCATATAAAACACGCTCCATGATTAATTAGAGCCCCTGTATTTCAATTAGTACTCATATAATAATTACAAATCACTAGTATTTAGCATTCATAGTTTATCACTTTGCTTTAATAAGATTGATAATAAGTGATCAGTTGCAACGCTACATGGGCTTCCCATCTCATTAAATTCCTTTCCAATCATACATTCTTTTAAAATAACCAACTTGCTATACTTTCAACTTAAATTGGGATTTAGTGAAGAATCGTGTCGAATAAAGCATTTACTGAGAATTTTTTAATATTTAATCTCTTTACAGACATATAATTACGTTTCAAAGTTTCCTTACTTTTAGCAAGCTTAGTTTCATTCAATTTTGAATTTTTACTCTAAGTTTTATCGTACCAACATTAGCTAGTACAACTTAAAATTAACCATTTTACAACTCATCAAACTTATTGGTTTCATAGCCAAACAACCTAAACAAGAACTGACATGATTTTCAATGAAAATACATTTTTGGCTTGTAGTGAACAATTGTTTATAAAAATTACATAAGAAATGAAAAAATATCTGTTACCAGCAGGCCTTGAAATTAATACTATTAATAATACGGAAAGTAAATAAAAGAAACGTCTTATAACACTTAAAACATTTATTTACGCTTATTATGTTACTCACAAGACGGTAAATTTAAAAAAATGTGGTAAGTGGTGATCAAGTTCGATTGGACACTCCAATCATCATCAGACCCAATAGGCGAAATGGATCAACATTTATAAATGTTATTGTAAATATATGTTTTAAATGTTATAAGACGTTTCTTTTATTTACTTTTCGTAAATTTAATAACAAGTACAATGCTGATCAAGAAGTTATTTATTAATAATACTAAAAAAATTTTGTTTTAGTAAGTTGATATCAAGATTTGTATGGGGCCTAGTTGATTTTCTTTAAATTATATTTGATATGACTTTGAGTGAATATCCAAGAGCTTCATGAGATGACTATTGCAACGGTAAAGGTTATTTTAAAGCAATGTTAAAAAAGGGATTTACCAAGCAAATAGCATATTTTAAAATACGTAAAATACATAACGAGGTAAACTGACCATCATATCATAACAAATCTATACAAGTATGAACTTACTTTTTGGTCTTCAAGATTCTAGGCCTATAAACTCAAATAATCATAAATAAACCTTTAAGAGGTGTTTTTACATTTCATAGTACATCAGATTATTTTTACATGATGAAGGTTTATTCTTCTTTTTGTCTAGTGATTTCTTATAGTATTTTGATTAGAGATTTACTAATGGACTTAAAGCCAAATGCATTTACAAATTGACCGGAAAGCAGGGTCGAGGGCCCTTCATACCTCACTCCTCTTCTATCGCTATAAACTAGTTAGCATTTAAGTGTTCTCTAAAACCCACATTCCATAATGTAATGGTACTTTAACACATGAAAGTAACATTTTAGAGGCTTTGACAAATTAAGTGAACTGTATCAAA